ATATATAGATAGATAGATAGATAGATAGATAGATAGATAGATAGATAGATAGATAGATAGATAGATAGATAGATAGATAGATAGAGATAGATAGATAGATAGATAGATAGATAGATAGATAGATAGATAGATAGATATACAGTATATCTTCTGTTTCAGAGAGATAACACATTAAAGTGTTTGTTGTCAAAGATCAATAGTATTTCATATTTGGGAGGACGCACAACATTTCAAAGAGGAGGTTGACAGCTGTCACAGCAGTGTTTCCTGTCAAAGAAAAGCATGACAAAGTGATTGTAAAGTAGTCGGCATTTTGAGAACTAATAAAATAGGTCCACTACCTGTTGTGTCGTAGGGTGGGGACACCTCGACCAAATCGCATCCCACAAGGCTCAGTCCACGGCATCCTCGAATAATCTCAACTCCCTTAATACACAACACATAAAAAAAATGTAATAAAGAATATATTATACAGCATATTTGTGTAGTGCTGCTATTAAGACCAATGAATGATGAAAACCGCATACTTGAATAGAAGTGAGCCCAGCAATCTCAGGCACGCCTGTTCCAGGGGCAAAACTTGGGTCAAGAGCATCAATGTCAAAGCTCATGTAGACGGGGCCACTGCCCATTTGACTCCGGACCTCATCCATCAGAGGTGCCAGAGATTTGAACCAGCATTCCTCCACTTGTACCACTCGAAATCCCTGGCAAAATCATTTCAGTATTTTCTCAAACTCAAACTTTCAGTGCATGATTTCACGTTGGTACAGGAAGAGCTCCCATTAAGCACTGAAGATACATGTTGGATCAAAAAGCCTCTTTGCATCATTATTTTCAATTGCTCTTAAAACAGTTGACTTCGTACTTTAAAGGCAATGCCATGTTTGACAGATGAGCCAAGATGCCTCAGGTAGTAACTGGTAATGATTTACGGTATTCATAAGCTGTGTCCAAATTTGGAAGCTGTGTCCTCCGAAGGACCCTTAACAGGCTGGGTCCTTCGTAGGCACAAACTGTAAATTTGGACAGGCCCAGCAACTGTCTCTTACTGTCTTCTCTACTGCCACAAGATGGCGGCCATGTGCACAGCTGGTAGATGAGATGAAGTGTTGAAGTGAAGAGGAAAAGCGGAGCGACGTCGGCTTTTCCTTAGCTGTGTCCAAATTTGTGGGCTGCATACTCCAAAGACCAAATTTGTCAGACCCAAGACTTAACTTCTGGCCTGACTCGCCCACATGCCGGTACACAAATTTCAGCAGCCTTCCAACCAGCAAAGGTTGCTTCAAAGCAGTTTCATAAGCTGTGTTCAAATGTTGTTTTCAGTATGTGCAGTGCATCGTTTCAGCTTTTTTTGAAGGGTTACACATTAAGGTAGGGGGGACACACATTAAAGTATAGGTGAGTTGAAAAGTTCCGATTCTGAAGCAGTTTGGCTTTTCACACTAGCTGTCAAACTGGGAACAAGCTCCTCACGATCAAAAGGCCCTGCAGGATGCCTGGAGGTTTGCTCAGTTTGCATATGTATGATAAACTAAAGGTCCTGCAGGATGCCTGGAGGTTTGCTCAACCATTCTGCATATGCATTATAAACTAACAAGTCGTTTGAACACGTCCCTCAGGGAGTCACGTGGGGGTACTCCAAGAGTATGGTGTACCTGAACCCGATACCAGCTGTTCACTCCCTGCAAGACCGGTGCCAAGTTCGGTCCGCACAGCTAAGGGTAACTCATTTTTTCCTGGTGAGGGTTGGACTCTGCTGAGGCTGCCATTTGTTATTGATACTGTTCAGACAACATTTATAGCTGCAGCCAAGATGCTGAGGCATTTGGGGTCGAGGGCTTCTGTATCACAGCTACTTTTTGCAGATGTGGGTTGTTTGCTTCGTCAAACTGTAATATTCAACTCACTGAAGCGATTTGCAACTGACTATAAAGTCGCAATAAATATCAGCACTTCAAAATCTGATGCCATGACCGTAGATGCAGCCTTAAGTTCAGTTCTAGTAACTTGAGATCTGTTCTTGAGTGACAGTAAAGCTATGAACAGGAACATGGATATACACCGTGTGCACTCTCCTGTAGAGATAGGGTGGTAAACTCAGTCATCTGGGTGGGGCTCAGTGTAGAGCTGCTGCTCCTCTATGCCAAGGAGCCAAATGAGGTGCTTTGGGGATCTGTTTAAGTGTTTGGGTAGGTGATAGACCGACTACGGGCCGGGTCAAATTTTCAAGGCCGATTCAACACTTTGTGCATATCGCCATCAGCCTTTAAAAAATAAAAATAAAAAATCCAATGACCGATAAGAATGCTGGCACCTCACATTGGTGAGCTGATCATCAATAGCTGCACTGTTGCACTTTTTTGTTTTTGGACCTAAAGATAATGACAGATGAAATATTAAAATTTTATTTATGTAGAAAATGAACTATGCATTTACTGACATTTTCATTGAACTTAAAAGAAATGCCTTTTAGCCTGCACTTTTTGTTCAGAGTTTTAAAAGATTTATTAGATCCACTGAAGTTTGAAAATAAAAATGTCGATGTTGCAAATCTGAAAAGCTGGTTAGTACACAGGTCCTAAAATGCATTTCAACAAAGTTTAACAGTTTGCTTCTGGTTCCTGGAATTAACCTGCAAAAAAAATTGTTCCTTAAAATTCTAACGGAAGATGTGTCGATTTTTTTTTTTTATTTCAAGCAGCACTGAAGCTTTGTTCACTCATTTATGGCATTTTGCTTTGTTAGCATTCAGTGGAAGGCATTTACCCAAGGCCAAGCTGTGCACTTGTTCTCAATAAAGCCTTTATACAAGAAATGGCACAGTCTGCCAAAGTGCTGCTTGTTCACTCCACTGCCACCATACAGCAATTTTTGCACACAAGTCAAAGGCAAAAAAAAAACAAAAAAAAAACGTGCAAATGGCTCTCTTGAAAAACGTATCACTTATGTCACACGAATCTCAAGGTACCATTGTACTTAGTTATCATGTCTATGTATTGCTTGGTATTATTCTTGCTGCTAGGTAAACTGTAATTTCAAGATGAACAATATCCAGCAGATAACCTGTGCCCGGCTCCACTCGAACGAATCAGCAGAGTAAGCTGAACCTCTCAGGCCGATTTGCACCACTCGCTTGCAGTCCAGCAGACCGTCCTCAACACATCGCCTGAACGGGGTCGCATTGCCAATCTTTTCCCCCAAGACCACATCACTGGTGTCAGGGTGAGCATCCACATGGATAAGTCCCACTGGTCCATATCTGGTGTTTGCACAACGCAGCATCAGAATTCGATACGGAGGAACCTCTCAAGTCAAACACAATCCTATTTGGGATGCTGGTCAGCTGTTTTTTTTTGTTTTGTTTGTTTTTTGAATGGGAACTATTTTCCTTTTTTTCTGGTGCCATCACAGAACTTTATTCATATTAACATAACACAAGCACATTTTAGTTCTTGTCCTAAGGTGTAACAATATGGAAAGTACATGTTAACATGAAAAGGAAAACTGTCTTAACATTAATAATAAGAGATGACATTGTACAATATGATGGCGGTTTAACTTAAAATAGAGTCTCCTTATATCCGGGGTATTCTTTTTTCCCCGCATGTTTTTCTGTGAAGACCCCTTATTAAGGGTTTCAGAATGTGGCACAGAAACCCAAAGAAAAAGCAAAACAGACGGATTATGATTTTGACAGAGGGTTTGTGCTTTAAGCGACTTCCCAATTTCATATTCTTTGACCTTAGAATTGTCCAACTTCAGAAGTTTCATTGTACTGCACAATAAAAATCTCATATCATTTGATTCCTCCACCATTTGGGTGGAAAAGATGTCTATTTTCTTCGTGGAAGTTAACAATGAGGAAATGAAAGGTTATATTGTTTAAAAAAAAATGCGGCTTCGTTGCTACGTTACACTTACTTCTCAGCAACGGCTTGTAGGATCGGATAAGAAATTGTGTGATCTCCACCTGGACATAGAAAAAACAACAAATGTTTTTGGTCAACTGCTATACAGTAGGAAACCTAGTCATTTTCAAGTTCAAAGGTCAAATTAGTATGCGATCCTTTTGAATGTGCTATTTGTCAAAAATTTCAAGCCATCTTCTCCAAAGTATAAGGAACTATTGTTTTATGTAAAAATAAATAAATGTTATCCAGGCAGGTTGAGGTAGCTTGAGTTAAGTGCATCGATAAGAATTTTACATTTCCGATTCCATTATCGATTTTCTTATCAATTCTTTTTTCTTCCCTGCCTCTGTGAAAGAAGCTTGAGGTAGACGCAGGGAGTGCTGTCAACCTCGAAGCCTGCCAGTCTGTCACTCGTCACACAACAGGCTCAACAACAAGGTCGAATTTGCATCAAGATAGGTGAATAACATAGCTAAGCAATTTAAATCGTGTAAATATAAGTACGGCAAGTGAAATTCTGGGAACCGGTTCTCTTTTGCTCCCCATCCCTTAAAGTTGCCGGCGCTCCATGAATCATAACTCACATGTGATTTTTGCTAAAACTATTGAAAGGGAGGGCGTATTTGCAACGATCACGCTACATTTACAAAACTATATTGACACAGTAGATGCATGTAATAAAAAAAAAAAAAAAAAAAAAAAAAAGTCATTGTCCCATAAGCACACTCACCCATTGTCAAGGGAATGCAGCCAGAGGCCAGCACCTTTCTATAGGTCTCCCTGATACGTCTGCATGTGTCCTTCAGGTCATACACGTTCACATTGACGTCCCCAATGTCAGCCACCACAAGAGATTCATATGGAGCAGCTCTGGTACCGCTGTTGTAGGACCTGAGCACGGCCGATTCCATTCTTATTTGCCTTGGGCCAAACCTTAAATCGTGAACAGTAACGTCATTAACTCCAATTTCTGTTACAATAGGAATTACATTGTTGACTTGAGTGCTTTTACAAAGTAATGTGCAGTTTAACAAATGTATTATGCCACATACATACCTGTATATGACCACCCAGCATCATTAAGATCTTTAATGAAGACACTTTCAAATTCAAAATTTGAATTTGCATGAGCTGAAGGCTTAAATGAATTTCATTAAGTAATGTAATTATTTGTTTAACCAGTGTCACCTGTCGACCAATGGTTCATTTGCCAAATTTAGGGGCTCCATAGGCCTAGGATTGACTGGAGAGCCAAGGAAGATAAATATAGAACGTGGAGTGATAGATGAGTGGATTTTCATCGCCAAATTTGATGCAACTCACACAGTGGGAGAAATTAATCAAGCAAGTGAGAAATTAATCAAGCATACCATTCCACCACTAAAACTAAGTAAAGATATTATAATTCGACAGTGCAATCAATCAATCATAATGGGCTTTAAGACGATATTTTTTACTTTTATGAAGAAAAAAACATTTGGAAATTCACAAATATTAATACAGAATGTTTAGTATTAAAATAAGAATGGAACTGCTTCTAAATGGAGCAGTTTATTATAGAAACATTAAAATGAAGTTGGTAACAAACTACTGTTAATTTAGGGCAGATGTTGAGTGGACCCAACGACCGAAAACACAGCACCTTGCTCCAGGTCGGTAAGCAGTTCCAGTATCAATCGGGACCCCAATGAAGGCTGCATCGAGACCGTCCGCAGTGTCCTGGTAAGGCAGCTTGGCCATTGTGGGGATCCCGGTAACCCTCGCAATATACTCGGCGCTGGGAGGCACGTTGAAGTGTTTGGCAGAGCATTTTCTGTCGGGGGTTCGGCTCGAACCTCGACCCTCTGACGCACGACTAACCCATTGCAGCCGAGGTAGTAGCGAGAAGCAACGTGTAGTCGTTGAAAGCAGACGAGGACAACCCCTCAGAGCTGTGAACATGGTTCTACGTGTTACTGTTACTCAAACTTTAGAAGCTCTGAAACTTGTAACCTCTGAGCCTTCCTGAAACTTTGTATAAAAGGTGGCCTCATTGCATACTTGGCACGCGTTTTATTCGTGTTACCTCTCGACATGACTTCAAATGTTAACGCCTCCTCTGCTTATCCAAATAAACCATTATGCGATCAATTTGACTATACACAGTTGTGTATGTTAACTGCATTTGATATCCAAATTATCAGCAAGGGTCAGTTGGAATCCTTTTTCAAAAAATAATTTTGTCCGTACTGTATTCAAAAGTACGCGAACGCTTGTTCGTTTGTTTGACATCTTAGTCAATAAAGTTGAGATTTAAAAAAAACTACTGCGGCAGTCGCCGGGGCGGAGATTTGTGACGTCATCAACACTGTCCACTTGTTGGAGATAGCAGAAGCGCGGGCAGTTTCACACGAAGCACATCCGTTTTGATTATCTCGACGTCGACTACGACACATCATGGTAAGAAGCGCATTTTTGTATATTGCTTAAAATTACACGAATGAAAACGGAGGAGAACGGATTGGGGCTTTAATTGAGTCGTATGCAAGTGATGCAATTGTCTGCATTTTCTTCTCCTCAGGCGGGAAATTGTTTATTTCATCATGGCGCCCACCCGCTAATAAGGCTTCGACGTTTTCTGTGTACATTGCAATGCGTTTTTTTTTTTTGCCCCCCACCTCAACACGCATACACTCATTTTAATTGACACATACGTAACACATCCGCTTTTAAGCATCTCCTATTTTCGGGAGGAAAGCAGAATTTCGGTTCACGCAACACTGTTGAGAATGTGGCCTTGCGGCAGCCAGATCTGGCTGCACCATGTCTGTTTGACCGAGATTAATCCCCCGTGTCTGCACTAATCCCAATTTGCTGTCGACTGTCACTCAGTGCGACATGAAATGACCCAAATAACTTGCGCCGTCATAACGTAAAGAGATGCTGAAAAGAAAAGAATCAGACACCCGTCCTAATTTATCACATTGATTGTTTCTGTTAAAATGTATGCTTTTTCTCCGCTCCGCAGCGTGAGTGTATCTCCATCCACGTTGGTCAGGCTGGAGTCCAGATTGGCAATGCATGTTGGGAACTGTACTGCCTGGAACATGGCATCCAGCCTGATGGACAGATGCCCAGTGACAAGACAATTGGGGGTGGAGATGATTCCTTCAACACCTTTTTCAGTGAGACTGGAGCTGGGAAACATGTCCCCAGGGCTGTTTTTGTGGACCTGGAGCCCACAGTCATCGGTATGCTTCAGAAACAGTAGAACTGGCTGTTACCTGCCATATATAAGTTTCAATCATTTTAAATATCTCCTTAGATGAGGTGCGCACCGGGACCTACCGCCAGTTATTCCACCCTGAGCAGCTGATCACTGGCAAAGAGGACGCTGCGAACAACTATGCCCGTGGACACTACACCATTGGCAAGGAGATAATTGACTTGGTGCTGGACAGGATCCGCAAACTGGTGTGTAGTTTTATACTCGTGGCTCTAACATCAGTTGAAATAAGATGAGTTCTTCAAGATACAAGCTGCTGCTCTGGTATTGAATTTTTTTTTTGCAAAATTTCAGTTACGAGCGCTAAATGGTGGCAGCGAACATTACAACAAGCAGCAGATAGTGAACAGTTGTTCTAAAAATATGCTAAGTGCTTGCTTCAAGGTGTTTTTTGCCGTTCCCAGTTAGCGTTTACACAAAATTAAAACAATTGTGTATCCGACCGAAACCACATAATTTCTGAGAGTCTGCTAGATTAATGCGAACGATGCAGAACACCTAAAACATGCAAATTAAATTCATCAATGTCTAGAGAGTTGCAATGGTGTAGCAGCACACAGACAGAAAAAAAACAACATTTTTTGCCTCTACAGCAAATGTTCAATATTACTGGGTCACTTAGTTGTGAAACTTGTTGGATTATTATAAATGCTGCCCCTGGTGGCCCGGCACGAAAGCAAGAAATGATGCACAAGCTATTTAATTATTTGCATTCTATTTATTTATGTTATTACTTTGTATTTGTCAGGCGTGGTAGTATAGAGCTTTTTAATTTAAAAAAAAATGTGTGGCGCTACAATGGTTTAAAGGATTTTCCATTCATTTCTGTTGGGAAGGTGATGTGAGATGTTTTGAGTGAGCAGTGTGGCCATGGTACAAATTAATCTTGTAATTCACCCCTGTATCCTGATGAACATCAAACAGACTCAAATGGAGCATCAATCAACATTATCATTACTATTATTATTTGTAATTCCTGGGCTTTGGAAGAGACCTCTGAACAACTCAGTGCCATCGTAGTCCAAAATAAAAGTGTCCTCTTTGTGTGTTCAGGCCGACCAGTGCACAGGTCTCCAGGGCTTCTTGGTGTTCCACAGCTTCGGAGGTGGAACTGGCTCTGGATTCACCTCCCTCCTGATGGAGCGTCTGTCTGTAGACTATGGCAAGAAGTCAAAGCTGGAGTTCTCCATCTATCCGGCTCCCCAGGTGTCTACCGCTGTGGTGGAGCCCTACAACTCGATCTTGACCACCCACACCACCCTCGAGCACTCCGACTGTGCCTTCATGGTGGATAATGAGGCCATTTATGATATTTGCAGAAGGAATCTCGACATCGAGCGTCCAACTTACACCAACCTGAACCGCCTGATCAGTCAGATCGTCTCCTCCATCACAGCTTCCCTTCGTTTCGATGGCGCCCTCAATGTTGATCTGACAGAATTCCAGACCAACTTGGTGCCATATCCTCGCATCCACTTTCCCCTGGCTACGTACGCCCCAGTCATTTCGGCCGAGAAGGCGTATCACGAGCAGCTGTCGGTGGCGGAAATCACCAACGCCTGCTTTGAGCCAGCCAATCAAATGGTGAAGTGCGACCCTCGTCACGGCAAATACATGGCGTGCTGCCTTTTGTACCGTGGTGATGTGGTTCCCAAAGATGTCAACGCTGCCATCGCCACCATCAAAACCAAGCGCTCCATCCAGTTTGTGGACTGGTGCCCCACCGGTTTCAAGGTGGGCATTAACTACCAGCCACCCACTGTGGTTCCTGGTGGAGACCTGGCCAAGGTCCAGAGGGCCGTGTGCATGCTGAGCAACACCACCGCTGTTGCAGAGGCCTGGGCTCGACTGGACCACAAGTTTGACCTGATGTACGCCAAGCGCGCCTTTGTTCACTGGTACGTGGGTGAGGGCATGGAGGAAGGCGAGTTCTCTGAGGCCAGAGAAGACATGGCTGCTCTGGAGAAGGATTATGAGGAGGTTGGAGTTGACTCCGTTGATGGAGATGGGGAGGAAGGAGAGGAGTAAAAATGCTAGTCAAGTAGTGAAGGTTATACCCTTGAATGTGCGAGTGACGAATTACAGGTCTGGAATACATTTCAAAATAAATGCCTGGTCTAAGTATTTGCTGGGGCATGTGTCTTTTTTTTAATGTTGTGAATGATGAGCTATTAGTACAAAGAAATGTTTGTATGAAGTCAGTGAAAATATACACTTTGCTTTAGTTCAGCAATTGCACAACGAATGGAGCTGAAAATGAAAGCAAGTCAAAATGAAAATCCAGTATCTCACAACACAAATGCACACGCGGCTAACCTAAGGTGCTAAAATTCATGCGGTCTTTTTTCTTTTTTTAACATTTCAAGTTCAACCAAAATGTGTTTAACATTGCTGTTAAATTTAAGTGCGGTGGTTTACTTTTTTCCTCAAGGAGAAAATGATGTTAAAACTAGACATAAAAGGCATTTTTTTGTGTTATAATCCATCCAAACAGTCAAATGAGAGTATGCCTCATGCATTTGAGGAAAGGCGTTAAAAATACATTGACTACAAGGCAGATTTGGGCCAACAACTTGAAGAGGAAGGCACAAAGGAGATTCTGCCATGCCACAGGCTGCACATACTGAACATTCATGAAGCTTTGTGAAATCGGTTTCTAAAAGCTGTGCATTTGAATGCTGTTGAAATTCATTCTAAAATGACAACATGAAACCTATTTCATTTAATTACCTTAATACATTTTCCGGAACATATCAAACCAAGTTTAACAAAATGGGACACTAAAAGTGAATTGTTATAATGCTGCATGTTGTAGTCAGTCCTTTTGTTGACTGTAGTTACCCCAACTCAAGCCGCCTGCCTACATTTGGTTTACTTTTCATTTTCAATTATCCAGTTAATCCAAGGCATGTAGTACCTCACTTTAGTTTGTATAGTTTGTGTAAGTACACACTTAGCTTGTAGCCGACGTGTGCATATTTTGAGCATGACGTCTGATCCACTGGTGAAAGGACACTTTGATTCTCTCCTCTTTCATCTCAAACTGCTTTAAACAACAAAGCGTATGAGGGAAAAGTGGTTAGGACTGCACGACTGTCCGTGTTTTATGTTACGTGTTGTGTTTATTATTTTACTTTAACTGTTTTGTTAAGCGCTTTGTTACAGCTGCCGCTGTTGTGAAAGTGCTATATAAATCGGCATGTGTTGTATGTATTTAGTGTAGACTCCAGGGAAGTAGGGGTTGGCGCAGCTGATACCCCAGGACACAACGCCCTCTGGGAAGCCGTTGGAGATCAGGGGACCGCCTGAGTCACCCTGTGGGCAGACCAGACAAGAGACATTTGGGATCACTGCAATTTGGCGAATCAGATTAGATTTTTTTTTTTAGACTGGGCCAAAATTTGTAGCTGGGGTCAGGTCAAATCAATGTTTGTAGTGCTCTGCTAGTCGCACATTCTCATCCATCAATCCCTTCCATTTCTATCCTCGTTGGGGTCACAAAGGAGCTAGAGTCTGTCAGATGACTTTGGGTAAGAGGTGTGAAACCTTTACCTGGCATGAATCTTTGCCTCTGATTTGAGATCCGGCGCAGAGCATGTTTGGAGTGATCTTGACCCAGTAGTAGTAGTTGCAGAAAGCCATGATGATCACATCCACAGCCGCAGCTCGGGGGAGAGAATGACTCTGTATGGTGATGTCACACCCCAACCGCTCACTGTGCATTCCTCACCCGGGGTGAGCTCAGGGCTGTTTGGGTCTGGTTAGGTCAGCTTGGCTGGTTGTACATGGCATTCAGCATTGCAGGTTTGCTTAACTAGAACATACACAGAGTTGTACCATTATGATTCTGGATCAGGATGGAGGACAACTTGTTCAACCTCTACTACCTTAATTAATTAGAATGATGTCGAATTGTCGAATGTCTTGTAGCTAAATTTGCAGACATATATCTTGGAAACTTTGAAGAATCCTTCAGTTTTGGATCGACTGTCTTCACTTAACACCACCATATTGCTCCTTGAGGTCCCGCACAAGCCCAATGTTGTGAACATACAGCTTTTCTACATATAACATCAGTGCTTTAAGTGGGCCGGGTACGCAGCGGTGCGGAGTACCCGCGGGACTTCACATGTGCCCACAGTACCTTCTATTTATGTTCTATGGGTATTTCTCCCTTGCACTTTGTGATTCTCATTCGACTCCTTCAGTAATTCGGGTACATCAATTTTCAAAAAATGGTAGAGGATTTTTTTTCTGCCTCCGGTCACAGTTTGGTGTGTTCGCCATCGTTTATGCAGTCTACACTAGTGAGGAACTATGTCTCTTCGACCAACATATCAAAAAATCCGCCAATGCAAAGGTTAAGTTCAAAATAACAGCTTCCAAATCATACATTGACGCCATTACAATAGCTTTAAGCTTTAACTTTGAGGTTGGTGCACGTGGTGGTGTGACACCTTGCTTGATTTACCATGTCAACATTACAATACAATACAATAATACAGTACATTATATATAGCGCTTTCACAACAGCTGCAGCTGTATGTAACAAAGCGCTTCACATTTTGGCTTAGTTTGTTAGTTTTAGTTGCCACTACATAGTTGCTACCAACATGAACACATCGCCATTCCAAAATTATATTCAATTGCTGATTTAGGACGCGAAGAAACAGCAAGTTAATCAGGCCCTCGTTTTATGATGGGACACAAGTCTCTGGGGAGTGTAAACATTGGCGATAACTGTGTAAACATAGACGTCTCTTCAAACGCAGTCGGACATTTTAAACTCCCACAGTAAAAAAAAAGGTTTGTTTTTGTTATCTACAATCAATTATGTACTTATAATTAATTAATCAATTGAATTATCTGCTGTTACCTATCACCTAATATACTTGCCTAGCCAAATAAGGAGAGTACTGGCACTTGTTTTATTCCACTTAAAGCACTGCGTCATACTACTATTATTATACAGGAGTATTATGTTTTTTGTTTTTTTTTTCATGGCATATTGTTGACCACAATTCAATTTCTCGAATTTTCAACTTCTGCTCAGTACTTAGTTTCCAGCAGTGGGCAGCACCCACCCACCCATTGGGGATGCACCGGCGTCCCTCCACAGGAGTGTTTTCATTTCTTCAGCACACTTCGATACGGAAGAGATAGAAACCTGAAACTTGATGGAGTACGACCAATAATCCTTTCTGTGAATGTCTCTATATGCCATGTGGAAGAAGCTCCATGTCAGGCATGTAATAAACAGTCCTTGGAATGAACTTTTCAAGTGTGCAAATTTGATTTGTGGCCCAATAATGTGGAATAATTTATGGTACTCTATTTTAAATGATGTGAAAACCAGTTTTTCTTTCAATATTTTCGTCATGGAGGTTGAGACCTTTTTTCTTAAGAAATGGAAAGATTTCAAATTTAAACTAACTGATGTATTATTACCTTACAAGATAACAATGCTCAGTTTTTGACAGTTCCGCAATGCAGACCTGCTATAAAATGTCCTTGCATTTTGCTTTCCAACAGCTAAGTATACATTTGAATGTAACCAATTCTTATAGAAAGAAAAACTAGTCTGACAACAGATTTAATGGCAATAACATTGACAACAATAAGATAAAGCCAGGAAGGTGTTTCGGAAATTGAATACTATTCTGTCCAACAGTTGTCCATATATATTATTTTTAACTGGTTATGTTTGATTCAATGTTTCGTATTGCAGCAGAAATTCCACCTTGTAGACCACGCAGAAGTTACCTGTTACACAGAAAGCCAAAAGCATTAGCACAAATCTTCCCAGTAGGAGCATATTTTTGTTTCTTCCCTGTAAAAAGAGAAATCCACATTTTTATGAGGCAGTTAATTCCTCATGCAGCTCAGCACTGCTCAGCTAGGCTAAGATAATATCAAGATTTTCCATTCAGACTCGTAAGACCTTGCTTAAATGCTCATGACTTACGAGTTGTTGGTTCAATCTTATTGGTGACTAAAAGCCTGTCACGTCATAAAAATGAAATGACAGCTTGATAGTGTATTAGAAATGTTACTCACCTGTAGCCCCAAACTTCACAACCTTTCAAAATTTCTCACAGCTCTTGCATTGTATGGATGCACTAGTTTTCTTCAAGCATTGTCGGGCATGTGGGCCCATCCCAATAGTTTGAAGCTCTTGCTTTTCAAACAAAGCATTAGTATATAGAAATCATGAAAAAGTAACACCGGCAGCAAGGATGATGACAATACCAACAATGCAACCACAAACAGAAGCAGGAGAGGTGAATGAGCATCTGGGTCATCTTTAAACTTAACTACTTGCATACAGTACTTGACGTACTGTATGCAATGTGCCATTCTTGAGCCTTGCGACACAAGATGACATTAATAGAGTATTTTCTGTTGTACAGTTGGTCCTGAGAAAACTTTGTAGAAATGAAAACCAGGAATGACTTCGTGGAGCTGGATGCAAGATGTGCAAAATGGCAATAAGTGCACTGAAGCAATCCACACATGGCAGGATGCAGTGATGAGACCTGACTCAAATGTGGGGGAGGCCCTCGCGAACCCACGCTGAAGAGAGAGGGGACTGTACAAAGATATATATATATAGATATATATTTTGAGCTGTATAAAATTACCAACCAAAATAATGATGAAGGATGAATTGCTCACACAAACATGCAGCACAATACAAAAATGTAAATCATTTGAATAGAGAGCTTTCCTGTATCACTCTTATTCCTACCTCTGTGTATATCTTAGGGGGGCTTTAGTTGGCAAAGTATGACTGCATATCATAATTTTTAATCCCAAAATATTGACCACCTTTGCTGAAATTGCCCATATCTTCAGTTGAACAGATCATGCAAAATTATTAATATCATGAATTGTTAGTGAATAGAATGAATTCAGGATGCGGGTCCGTTTTTCGTGTTTTCTGAAAAAGAAAAAGAAAAAAAAAAACCTACTCAAGCCATTACTTTAGGGATGTACGATATACCATCCAGTGCTGAACACATTTATTTGACCATCTTTCATAAAAATAAAAAGGGAACATCTGGCATCATGAATGTTTTAATGCAGACCTTTTCAGTTCCGGTGAGACTTTATCATTTAGAACAGGAGGGACTCTTTCAATGGTACTGTCACAGAAAACATGCTCTGTGCAGTCTACAGAGTTAGCGGGAAAGATGCCTGTCAAGTGAGTCTCGAAGTGACAGTGATCTTCAATGCCGTCGCTAAAATGACTTTCGAACCAAAGTGTAAAAGGCTGGAAGTGAAAATATTGCAAATGCATCTCTATTCTGTCATACGTCATATTCTTGATACCCATTCCTTATTGGTAACTAACCGTTAAGAAAGCTGTATCGAGTGAGCACAAGACACTGGAGTCCTTTGATAACCAGATTTTGAAGTTTATGAATAAAATATATGCTCATTTGTACATGTATTGTGCAGTGCTTATCTGGAATACGGAATATTTCAGTTTTGGTCTTCCACTTCCCTCACCGTGTCGGGGGACAAAACCCCCCCTCAAAACGATCATCCTATAATTGGATGTAGCCTATTGATCTTAGCCTATTTTGCTTAGCATACAATGAATTTGATTAACTCTGAAGTCTTTACCTGCTCAACAACACTGAATGAGATTAAATAGGGCACGGGTGTCAAAATCAAGGCCCAGGGGCCAGATCTGGCCCGCCACGTTATTTTTTGTGGCCCGCGAAAGAAAATCAAGCATGTCAAGTTCCATGATGCTTGCTAAAGTCTGAACCCAAATTTCAAATTGTCATATGTATTCCACAATAACATTCATTATTCTTGACTTCCGATTTCAAAACTAGTTATTCATCAATTTGTTGTGCGCTGTGTATGTAATATGTGGAGGTGATTAAACCCTTAAAATTCATAACGGCCCTCCAGGGCAAACCGTTACTACAATGTGGCCCGCAACAAAAATGAGTTTGACACCCACGAAATAGGGCAAAATATATATGTATATATATTTTACCGACTGCTGTCAGGCTGCTGAATAAAAAATAAATAAAATGATGTGGAAGACAATTGTAAATAGCACTGCGACCTTATCCATATCTGTATTTATATTGCACTTAATTGAACGGTGTTTCTTTTCTTCTTTCTTCTTTCTCCCCATTATCTTGCTGCTGTGGACTGTAATTTCCCCATTGTGGGACAAATAAAGGACATCTTATCTTATCTTATTTTTTTTTCCTTTTCGTTAACCTGTTCAAGAAAGTAAACTGGAAAACTAATCCCCTAAGCCTGAATAACTGTCATGTCTGTTGTCAAATAGTATGCATAATATTCTTTACAATGGAAGGTCCCAAGTCAAACACAATCAATTCCAAGTCATTGCTTGACTACCGGTAGATGTTCTACTTTCAAAGCACCTTTGGCCATTTGACCATTTTTGTGAATGTCTGACTTTGGAGGTTCCACTTGACAATTCATGTGACAATTTACCAATAATGAGGTGCCATATTGATGTTTTAATGCTCAGAGTTAGAACTGTACAACCTCCTGAAAAACGACTTAAATTGCTGCGCGGGCATGAAAATGTGCAACTGTGAATTTGGAATATCTGTGACAGCAACAATATGTTATGCATTGACATATTAACACAGAAATAACCGGATGGGGTTTATAGATGTGCTTACGGTATTCTTGTCACTCCAATGTCCTTTTTAGTGTTTCAGTGCAGTAAACTCTGCTATGTTTTCTCGTTGCAAGATGGCGCACATTTAAACCTGATTCATTTTTATTGCTGATTACCTCGTCTTGCAATGTGCACTAGGTGCACTATATTTTATGCTAATTTAATAAACTCACTTTGCTCGAAGCACCTTCACTGAATGGCTTTAAAATGTGAGGCTCTATCATCAATGAAACAATGCAACGACTGTACTTTCATGTTTAATACACTTAAATGAATTACCCATCATGCCATCTTTTTGAGTATGAGAGAAAATGCTTTTTGTGTGAGGTA